GGTGTGTCATCTTGCCCAAATCCACCTGCCTTTTCATTCTTTACTTATTTTGGCAAAAGCAAGCAATAAAAAAAAAACCCAAAACAATGACAAAATCAGGGTCTCATGTAGCCACATGCTGGTCTCAAACTCTGCATGTAGATGATAATCTTGAACTTTCTATTCTTTAAAATTTTTGATTTACGTGTGTGTGCCCGTGCATCACACACGTGTCCATGGAAGCCAGAAGAGGACATAGGATCCCCTGGAACTGGAGAGCTGCCATGTGGGTGCTGGGAATCAAACCTGGGCTCTCCATGAGATTTAGCAAGTGCTCTTAACACGGAGCCCCTAGTCTTGAACTTTAAAAACATTTTTTGTTTACTTGTTTGTTGGGGGTATACATTTGCTATGGCACGTGGATCCCAGGGGTCAAATTTAGATTGTCAGGCTTGGTGGCAAGTGTCTTTACTCACTGAGCCAACTTGCCAGCACAGTCTTGAACTCCTAACTCTCCTGCTTTTACCACCCAAGATTATGGGCATGCTCCCCCATGCCCAATTTCTACCCGCACTGTTAAATCTGTTTTCTCAAGATATATACCCATACACCTGGCCCTCCAGAGGTTTAAGGGAGGACAGCTGAAAGTTCAAGGTCAGCCTGGGCTACATATATCAAGATCCTGTCAAAAAAAAAAAAAAAAAAAAAAGGAAATAGAAAAAGAAAAGAAAAAGACAAAGCCCAGAAGCCATGACACTCGCCTTTAACCCCAGCACTTGGGAGGCAGAAGTAGGTAAATCTCTGAGTTCAAGATCAGCCTGGTCTACACAGTGAGTTCCAGGACATCCAAGGCTACACATCCAGAGCCTGTCTCAATTAAAATAAAACAAATCCACAGCACTCCTCAGTGGGTTGACTCTGTGGCTGTGGCGCTTGTCCACCCGGAGAGCCAACTGTGCTGTCCCGGAGAGGACAGAGACACTACAGCTCCACCATTTGGGGAAGTTCTGGTGAACAGCACCAGATAGACCATGTAGACACAGGCGTGACCTGTGACCCCATGACATCATTGTCCTTCTCCTGAGTATGCATGTGTGAGTCTGAGCTCTTTCCCAAGCCCAAGAGACAGGAACACAGTGTGAGGGAATGCCCCTCCCCCAAAGTGGATGGAGAACCAAGCACAAAAGCACAAAGACCTAGGAGAATCAAGAGGACCTCTGGGGAGGGACAAATCCAGTAGGTGGTTGCTGGGCAGGGAGGGGAGGCTCTTGGGTGGAGCTGCCCAAAAGCTGTGCAGGGAACTCCAGACATGAGGCTCTTTTTTTTTTTTTTAATTTTATTTTATGTGCGTTGGTGTTTTGCCTGCATTTATTTCTGTATGAGGGTGTCAAATCAGTTTGAGCTGGATTACAGAGTTGTGAGTTGCCATTTGGGTGCTGGGGATTGAACTCCGGGTCTTCTGAAAAAGCAGCCAGTGCTCTTAACTGCTGAGCCGTCTCTCCAGCCCGGCATGCAGCGTTTATGAATCCTCGTCCATGCTGGGGTGGGCTTTTCTGTAACGCAGCTGCAAGGGGGTTTCCCTCGGAATCTCGTAACTCCCAGACAACTCTGGTTCCCCAAGCTGGACTCGGATGGGCTCCTCCATTGGTCTGTCATTGCTCCCTCTGTCTGGGTTGAATAGAAACAGACTCCTCATGAAGCCACCCAACAGGCACAAGCGGAGTAGTGGGGGAAACTTAGTGTACTTGCCCACCCCAAGAGTAAGCGCCCTAAATTCTACATCTTCTGCCATTCACTTCTCTCGCCGCACTCCCAGCCCTTGGCTGACCTTCAACTTGACAGAGAAGCATGTGTTTAAATTACACTTACTTTTATTAAATTACATTATTTATTGTGGATGTGGAATATCAAAGGACAAATTGCAGGAGTGGGTTCTGGGTTTTGAACCTGAGTTGCCAGGCTTCGTGGCAAGCTCTTGCACCAGCTGAGCTGCTCGCCAACCCGAAAGCTGTAACATTTAGCTTCCGGCTGCATCCCTGGGTAGGGATTGTTCCTGGAGAAAGCCCTAATGGTACTTCCACTTCCGGTCTGCTCAGCATCCACACAGAAAAGAGACGTAGAGGAGCAAGGAGATCCAGGCACACGGGTGGGAAGCTGTCAGTGTGTGGGGACTGCCCACCCTTTTCACGAGTGAGTGCGAAAGTGCGCCCATGGGATGAGGTGGGAGGGTACCAGCTGGTGGCTGCAGCAGCAGACTCTAAAAAGTCTCCCACACAGAGGACAGGTGTGGGCCTTACGGGAACGCGGAGCTGGAGGCGACCTAGATGCCCATCTCTGGGCGAGTGGGTAAGCACAGGCCCTGTGGGCGCACTGCCACAGTTACAGACAGGGAACTGGTTGTCCGCAGCTGTGTGGGGAGATCGCAGAAATGAAGCGTTAAGTTTTAATTTTTTTTCAAAGTTAGTAGATTTATAGCACAATCTCATTTGTGTAAATTGGAAACGCAGAGACACACAAAGTCACAAATTAAAACGGTGCCTCTTGGCAGTTGTATATCAGGGCCCGCTGAAGTGGGTGTCTGGGAGGTGGATGGGTAGGGGTGGGGATGGGAGAGGAGGAGAGTCTTTTATGAGCCGATTGTGGTTCTGTGTTGTGATCTGAAAAGTATGATTAATGACCTCGGGCACTGAGGGCTAAGAAGAAAGGAAGAAATAAAAACTGCAAACACATCGCAGCAATTGCTTTCTGGTTATGCGGATCCGAAGACTCCAGAGGTGATGGGCGACATCAGAGTCCCAGACCCTTCCCCAGCCTTCCCTAGGAAGTGCCCTTGTCCCCAGCAAATGAGGACCTTCTTCCCTGTTTCATATTACCCAACAGTCAGAAAGGAGACACCTTAACTGCTGAGGCTTTGCATGTGTGTGTGTGTGTGTGTGTGTGTGTGTGTGTGTGTGTGTGTGTTTGCACGCACACGCAAGCTTTTACCAGGTGTCTTCTGCAGTCCCTCTTCACCTTGTTTTTTGGGTCTCTCACTGAACTGGGACCTTACCAATTGGTAAGACAGGCTAGCTAGCTAGCCCCAGGGAGCCTTCTGCCTGCCTCCCCCAGCAAAGCCACTACAGGCATGAAATATGGTACTGGCTTTTAGTATGTGTCCTGGAAACCAAACTCAGGTCCTGCAGCATGTAACACGGCAGTTTTCCTGAGCAAGCCGTTCCCTCAGCCCACCTTTGTTACTTTGGTTCTGGAGATGATCTTGCTGTCCAGCTAGTCTCTCCTCCCATCTCCTGCACGCTGGGAGTCAAAGCTCCTGCCACCACACCCAGCTCCAGCTCTGTCCGGGCTTATGTCCCATCTCTCAGCAGTAGGCACAGTGGGGGTGAAACAGAGAATTCTGTACACACCCTAGCCTGTTCCTGACCACCGGAGGGACCCCAAGGTAGTCATCAGAAAAGTGGGGCCACCATTATCTGGATCAGGGTTCTTCCGAGAGGCAGAATCCTAGGACAGAGAGTCATGTACCCCTCAACAGCACACAGCCAGTCGTGGACCACTAAGCCCAGTCAGAGAGTGTAGAGGGGTTTTATTGTTGTTGCTTAAAGATTGATTTATTTTTATTTTATGTGTACTGGTGTTTGTCTGCATGTATGTATTTATTGTGTTTGTGCCTGGTGCCTGCAGAGACCAGAAGAGGGCATAAGAGACCCTGGAACTGAAATCATAGACACGTATGAGCTGTCACGTGGATAACCCATGTGTTGTAGAACGTTATTTTAAGGTGGGTTGCTTTTGTTTGTGTTGTATTTGTTTGACTCTGGGAAGTTGTGATTCTTTGTCTGAACAGCCGATAGCAAGACAGGAGAAAGGATAGGCGGGGCTGGCAGGCAGAGAATCTATAGAAGGAGAAATCTGGGAGAGAAAGAAGTCAGAAAAGGAGGAGGACGGCAAGGGTCAGCCACCCAGCCACACAGCAAGCCACGGAGTAAGAGTAGGGTTTACAGAAGTAAGAGAATGGAAACATCTCAGAGGTAAAAGGTAGACGGGATAATAAGGAAAGTTGGCTAGAAACAAGCCGAGCTAAGGCCAGACATTTATAATGAAGAATAAGTTTCCAAGTGTGGTCTGTTTCGGAGTTAGGTGGTGGGCCCCCCAAAAGATCAAAAACAACAGCACCCGGGTCCTTTATGAGGCCAGTAAGGAATGTGGATCTCTTTTCCTTTTTTATCTTTGTTTTTTTTTTTTTTTTTTTTTTTTTTTTTGAGACAGGGTGTCTCTGTGTAGCTCAGGCTGTCCTGGAACTCGCTCTGTAGACCAGGTTAGCCTCAGACTCACAGAGATCCACCTACTTCTGCCTCTCGAGTGCAGGGATTAAAGGCGTGCGCCACCACGGCCTGGCCAGGAATGGGGCTTTCTTACACTCGAGTGCTCAGCTCCAAATTTCCTCCTATCAACGCCCTCACTCTACAGGAGTCTCCTTCCTCATACAGCCCACTGACTCACAGGCCTGCCTTTTCCCCAAACACCCTCAAGTACCCAGAAAGGAATCCTTTTCAGCTACCACCCGAGCATGACAACACCCAGAAAATAATCCTCACAACCGCCACAGCAATTACTCACTCACAGGAATCTTCATGAGACATCCTTCTCAGTCAGGGAGCCTGTTCCACACCCGCCCACCCTCCACCTCCCGTTCCCACTGTGACCTGAGCCTTCTGCCCATTCCCACAACTGCCCCCCCCCTGCATCGCCAATGTATTCTAATTTGGGGAGCCCTACCCTTCGATGTCCTGAAAGAGATGGTTTTGCAGATTCCCGACACTGGATTCTGTTTCTCTTTCCTCCCTGGAACAGCATCACACATCTGACCACACCCACACCTGCTCACCTACCTGGCCCAGGAATTGGCTCCATGCCTCTGGAGAGTAAATTTTGGTGTCCCTTCACCTCTTTTTCTCTTTGTACACGTCATCAAGGCTGAAAAAGCAGAACCATGAAGCTCAGGGGACACTTGGGACTGGAGCATGGCTATACTATTGCTGCTGGCTCTGGTGACCATGATGCTGGGCTTGGCCACAGCTGGTCCTGTCCTTCCTTCCAAGCCCACTCCAGCCAGAACAGGCTGTCGCATTGGCATTTTCCAGTCTTTGGTGCGTTGCTGCTACCATAATGGGCTACCCTCCATCTTTCCTACTGGGATGAAGATGGCAGCCTGGCACCGTGGGCTAACCTCTAACCTTCTGCTATCGGCTAGGCTTGAATCTTGCAGCTTTGACCTGTCTATCCCTTCTGCCATGAACTCACCTCAAACCCTCCCACCAGGCCAAGAGTCACTCTTGCTGCTGCGAACTAGGCCCTGTCTCTCCTGTGTGGGCTAACCTGTGTCTTTCTCTTCAGGAGGAACGGCTGCTCCGGAAGGATGTCCAGTGCAGCCTCAGTCCCTGTCCCAGCAGCCGGAAACTGGAGGCCAGGGGAGGGTCACCCTTGCCCTATCGCTTTCATCCCCAAACCCCGTGTCCCTCAAGTGCCTCCACCCTCCCATGCTTATCTGGCTCCTTCAGCTCAGTCTCTTTTGGGGGCCAGGGGGACAGAGGGGTCTCACTATGCAGGCCAGGCTGGCCTCAGTCATGAGGTCCTGGAGACCCTCAGCCTCAGTCTCCTGACACGCTGGGATCGTAGACACATGGCTCCACACCTGGCTCATATTTCTCTGCCTGTCTGGCACCCACGCCCCGTCCCATTCCCTGCTTCTTTCTCCCTGTTTCTCCTCACGCAGCCTCTCCCTTCTGCCCCTCATCTCTTAAGATGATTGTTCCTCTCCATCCTCCATCTTTCCATACAGCCCCCTTCACCTCCCCTACCTCCCTATTCTGTTCTCTTCTCCCCAATCTACTAAAGCTCTGTGAACCCAGAGTCCTGTTTGCTTGTCGCCTTTTCTTTGCCTTCACCTGTCTCCTCCCTTCCTTTCTCCTCACCTGGACCTTCCTCATCTGTATTCCTCCTCAAACACTCCTGATCTCTGGATCCCTCTTGTCCACATCTGCCTCCACCAAGTGTCCTGCACCACCTTCCCCCTGTATTGTATTCCTTACACAACCCGACTTACCTCTGCCTTTTGGGGTTTGGGGCAGGTGTGTATGTGGTTATAGGGACTCAATTCAGGTCTCACACAGACTAGGTAAGTCCTCTACCACTGAGCCACACCCCAGCCCCTCACTGGGGGATTCTAGGCAGGGGCTTTACCACTGAACCACACCCCACCCCTCACTGGAAAATTCTAGGCAGGGGCTCTACCGCTGAGCCACGTCCCCAGGACATCCTTGGAAGATTCTGGTCAAGCACTCTGAGCCACACTCTCGGCCATTACCTCAGCTCTCTTACCTGTTTCTCCTGATTACCTGTTATTTCTCGCCTCTTCTCAGGTTCAGGGGCGCCCCAAGGCCCTGCAGGCTGATCTGGCCCTGACACTGGAGGTCCTGGAGAACGTGACTGACTCAGCCCTGGGCCCCATCCTGCACCAGCCTCTTCACACACTGCGCCACATCCAGTCCCAGCTGCAGGCCTGTGTGAGTCCTGAGTCCCTGGCTCCTCTACTTTGTGCCTCCAGCCACGGGGACGTCTCCTGTGTCCCAGCAGCAGGTTCACAGTCCCCTCCTCTGTCCACAGACACAGCTCAGCCCACAGCAGAGCCCGGGTCCCAGAGTCACCGCCTCTCCCGCTGGCTGCACAGACTCCAGGAGGCCCAGGAGAAGGTGAGTCTGGAGAGGGAACCTGGATCTGCAGAGCCTGGGAGCCCTGAGTCCTGGCAGCCCCTGAGCCAGCCCTGTCCTTTCAGGAGACCCCCGGCTGCCTGGAGGCCTCTGTCACTTCCAACCTCATGCGCCTGCTCATCCGGGACCTGATGTATGTGGCCGCGGGAGATCAGTGTGTGTGGGGTGCAGTGGCCTGGCACAGCGCATCCAAGGCTCTGGACTCCACACTGGGTCCCACCCCTCCCTTATTTCCTCTCACTCTTTATTTATGAAGCTGCGGTCCAAGCTGGGTTTATTTTTCCTATTTTTATACAACATATGCAAATAAACAGCGAGGAGTTGGACCCTTCTGTGATCCTTGGGTGTGTGTTCGTGTGTGGTTGTGGCATGCAGCTGAGTGTGGATGACTGTGGTGCAGAGGACATTCGAGACTGTGCGTTTGTGTGTCTGTCTTCTGTGATGTGTATCCAAGGGACCACCTCTCCAAACCAGCAACTAATCAAAGATGTGTCACTGTGGTCTGTCCACATTCACACATGTTTACAAACATGCTAATAAGTCTTTCTCTAGTCTGCATGTACCGTGTATCTCTCTTTTAAACGACTCTGGGACAGATGGGGGGGGGTCTCGCTCATTCAGGAAGCTGTCATCTTATAAGAAATCGAAAACCCAACAGGTTGGACAAGGGTGAGAACTTTAGGTTTGATCCCCAGCACCCATGTAAAAAGGGAAAAAAAAAAGATACAGCCAACTTTGGAAATGGACACAGGACAAGGATCCCTGGGGCTAGCTGTCCACCCAGTCTAGCAGTTGGTAAGCTTCAGATTTAGTTATAGACCTTGGCTGAAAAATAAAGTGAAAAACAATTGAGAAGACACATAACATGCATGTCAGGCCTCCATGCACAGGCGCATGTACGAGCAAGTACACACACATTAAAACATGCAGACGAGGGGCTGGAGAGACTGCTCAGCAGTTAGGAGCACTGGCTGCTCTTGTAGAGGACCTGAACTGGAATCCCAGCACCCACATGGTGGCCCACAACCTCACATACATAATTCTAGTCCCGGGGATATGATGCTGTCTTCTGGCTTCCATGGGCATCAGATATACCCTTAGTGTATATACATATATGCTGGCACTCATGTGTGCATAACATAAAAATAATCACATGCTTAAAAAAAAAGATGGAGATCAATTCAGAAGACAACTGGTGTTGACCTTTGGCCTCCACATGCACATATAAGCTCATACACACATGTGCAAAGCACAGACACACATACATCTAAAGAAAACCCAACTCATATGGCAGAAATAATAAAGAATTTGTCATAACACATAAGAACGTGTGTATTGCTGGGCAGTGATGGCACACACCTTTAATCCCAGCACTTGGGAGGCAGAGGCAGAAGGATCTCTGAGTTTGAGGCCAGCCTGATCTACAGAGTGAGTTCCAGGACAGCCAGGACTACACAGAGAAACCCTGTCTCAAAAAACAAACAAACAAACAAAAACAAAAAAACAAAACCAAATGTATTGCACTCCACAAGACTGTTCAGCACTAACACTGTGGACATGAGCTTGGTATCCAGGAACCACACAGTGGAAGGAAAGAACTTACCCTCCAACTCATGGTCTGAATCCCCACAGCCCCTAGACTGTGTACATTTTAAAATTAGTATTACCTTCTGTGCATGGGTGTTCTGGTGTGTCTGTGCACCATGTACATGCAGTACCCACAGCTGCCAGAAGAGGGCATCGGATCCCCATAACTGTGATTACAAAGGCTTGTGAGCCACCCTGTGGGTGCAGGGACTCAAACCCAGGTCCCCTGGAAGAGAAGACAGTGCTCTTAACCACTGAGCCATCTCTCCAGTCCCCCAAATGTAATTAAATAAATACATAAATAAAAGAACATGTGTATTATTCTGGGTGTAATGGTGGGCATGACTGCAATCTCAGCCCTGAGAAAGTGAGGGCCTGAGAATCAGCGGTTCACAGTCATCCAAAGCTACACAGCCTGGGCGACTTGATGTCATATCTCAAAAAAAAAAAAAAAAAAAAAAAAAAAGCAGAGAGACGGTGAGGTGGTCAGGAACATTCTATTGTACACGGACCTTGCAACTTCATGCTTGCTTATGTATGTGTGCTTGTGTGTGTTCGTGTGCACACACACGATGTAGATGTGCTTTGTGTGAGTGCACCTGGAGGACAAAGGACCTCAGCTGCCACCCCTCAATAACTGTCCACCTCGCTTTGTTTTACTTCCTAGTTGTCCTGTGGCTTGCCAATTAGGCTATGCTAGCTGTACGGTGAGCACCACAGACCCTCCCATTTCTTCATCCCTGGTGGTGGATTACAAGCACATGCCGCCATGCCTGACTTCCCTCCACTCTGGAGAATCGAACTCGGGTCCTCATACTTGTGGGGCTAGCACTTTACTACCTGAGCCAGCCATCTCTCCAGCCCCAAGAGTGTATCGCTTCTATCATCAAAATATGGAAATAGTGAAACTCAGATAGATAAATGGATAGATAGATAGATAGATAGATAGATAGATAGATAGATAGATAGATGATAGATGGATAGATGGATAGATGATAGATAGATACATAGATAGATAGATAGATAGATAGATAGATAGATAGATAGATAGATGAAAGATATAGATGGATAGATAGAGACAACTACTTTGTTGGTAGTTGATAAAATCACAATTTCCCCCAAGATTCTGTGGAACTGTGGGGCATAATGATGTGGGGAGTTGAGGGGTTGGGGTGCAGCTGGAGAGATAACTTAGCTGTTAAGAGCCCTTGCTGTTTTTGCAGAGGACCCAAGTTCAGTTCCAGGACCCACATCTGTCTGGAACTGAATCTGCAGGGGATCCAGCATCTCTGGCTTCTGTGGGCACTACACTCATGTGCACACCCACCCCACACACACTTAAAAAAAAGTTGAAGCTGGGTGGTGGTGGTGCACTCCTTTAATCCTAGCACTCAGGAAGCAGAGGCAGGCAGGTCTCTGTGAGTTGTAGCTCAGGCTGGTCTATGTAGTAAGTTCCAGGGCAGCCAAGGCCATGTTGAAAGACCCTGTCTCAAAACAAAATCAACAAATAGAAATAAAATTTGATAGAAAGGTAAATAGGTAGATAGATAGATGATAGATAGATAGATAGATAGATAGAAGATATATATATATAGAGAGAGACGATATATAGATAGAAGATAGATGATAGATAAATAGATAGATAGATAGATAGATAGATAGATAGATAGATAGATAGAAGATAGATAGATAGATAGATAGATAGATAGATAGATAGATGATTGATAAAGAGCTGATGGGATGATTCAGTGAGTTGAGGCACTTGTCATTAAGTTTGATGACCTAAATTCAATCCCAGGGACTCACAAGGTGGAAAGGAGAAAACTAATCATGCAAATTGTTCTTTGTCTTCCACATGTACCACATGCATACACAATGAATGGATGGATGGATGGATGGATGGATGGATGGATGGATGGGTGGATGGGTGGATGGATGGGTGGGTGGATGGATGGGTGGATGTAGTTTAAGAAAGAAAAGCCAAGTACAGTGGTTCGTGCCTATAATTCCAGCACTTTGGAGGTAGAGGCAGAAGGATCATGAATTTAAGGCCATCCTTGGCTACATAAGATCTTGTCCAAAAACCTGGCATGGTTAGTGGACACCTTTTATCCCAGTACTTTCGAGGCAGAGGCAGGTGGATTTCAGCGAGTGAGTTCAAGTAGGAAATTCTAGGTCAGCCAGGGTTCTATAGTGAGACACTGGGGCTGGGGTTAGATGACAAGAGAATCCAGCTAATATGTTTTAAATATCTGGAACATTCTGTTATGGGGCTGGAGAGGTAGCTTCATGTTTTAGAGCAGTGGCTGCTCCTCCAGAGGATCCAGGTTCGAAGTCCCAGTACATACATGGCAACAGTTCACAACCTTCTGTAACTGCAGTTCTTTTTCTGGCCTCCTCTGGCACCAAGCACAGACACTGTACACAGATAGGCATGTAGGCAAAACACCCATACACATAAAATAAAAATAAATAAAATATCAGTACATTCTGGTATCATCTGACTGTTTGGAGTCTAGGGGTTTGTCATAGACCTGTTTTCCTGTGTTTTTCCTCTACCTTCCTTTAAAAACTGATGATAGTCTTACATTCTGTTCTCAGTGCTGCGTGGCTACAAAATGCCTGCAGAAACTGCAAGTCTCATATCTTCATAACCAATAAATTAAGCAGAAAGGAGAAAAACAAATGAAAAATGTCTCTCTTTTTTGTATATTGAAGAAGAAAACAATTGCTCCAGGCTGGCCTCAAAGTTACTATGTAGCAAATGATGACAAACTTCCAATCCCCCTGCCTCAGCCTCCTGAGTGCTGGGATCATAGACCTGTTCCACCAGGACCATTTCTTTCTTTGTGGCCTATTTTATTTTATTGTTTTTCAAGATGGGGTTTCTCTGTGTAACAATCCTGGCTGTCCTGGAACTCTCTGGCCTCAAACTCACAGAGATCCTCCTGCCTCTGCCTCCCAAGTGCTAAACTGCAGGCATATGCCACCATGCCTAGCAGCTCATCTATTTTATTCATTGCTAAGGCTCCTCCCCTGGGTCAGGCATAAGGTACATGCTCAGTAAAGCTTATCCACCCATGAGTTGCAGGGCAACCAGAGCTACATATCGTGAGCCTGCTTCTTACGGGAGAAACCACCTTTCGTCACGCTGTACTGACTCACACGTTAGGCAGGATATGTGAGCACAGGGCCCAGCTGGTGGGAGCACGCCATACTTAGGTATCACTGTGAGTGATATGTATATTGGGCCAGTGGGTGAGGGATCCACCTGGCCTGGAATTCTCCAGAGCTGCTGTCCTTGCTGCTTCCCACCCTCTCTGCCCAGACCAGCTTCCTCCCTCTGGCTCTGTTTCTATTTCTGTCTTGCTTTCCTCCTCCCCAGGCCTCAGGGGGCCCCTGGCTGGCTTGAAGCCTTCTTCATTTTTCCCCAGAATTAGGAACAAGTTTTCATAGCAAGGTATCTGCAAAGACTGAGATGCCCAGAGCCCCTACCATACCTCAAACCACTTTGGCCTCCCCAGGCAAGTTCTCTGTCTTTAGTGAGCCCCTCCTCCATCACCCTCCACTGCTCCAGCAGACCCTGCTTCACTTACCTTCCCTCTTGCTCACACAGGTAAGCAGAGTTCTACTCCCTTAACAGCTGGCTTTGGAGACTCAAGTTCGGCTAGGGTCACTGAAGCCATTCCCCAGCCTCCAGACACAACTCCGGGGGCAAACTGCCAATTCCACTTTCTTCATGGAAAGCAGACCAGGGTGGAGCCCTCTGACAAGAGACTTCCCTTTCTTCTGGTTCTGCCTTCTGTCTGTAAAATAGGACCATGGATATCTATCCTCCACAATGTGGGCAGCCAGGAGGAGCGGTAACTGCCCAGCTGAAAGGGCTTAAAGTTGAGGATGGATCAGAAATCAGTCCGTCTGCCTTTTTACTGTTATTGATGTTTGCAGTTTTGAGACAGTGTCTAGCTATGTTGCCCAGGCTGGCCTCAAACTCCTGGGCTCAAGAAATCATCCTGCCATAGCCTCCTGAGTAGCTGGGGGTCCAGGTGTGTCATCTTGCCCAAATCCACCTGCCTTTTCATTCTTTACTTATTTTGGCAAAAGCAAGCAATAAAAAAAAAACCCAAAACAATGACAAAATCAGGGTCTCATGTAGCCACATGCTGGTCTCAAACTCTGCATGTAGATGATAATCTTGAACTTTCTATTCTTTAAAATTTTTGATTTACGTGTGTGTGCCCGTGCATCACACACGTGTCCATGGAAGCCAGAAGAGGACATAGGATCCCCTGGAACTGGAGAGCTGCCATGTGGGTGCTGGGAATCAAACCTGGGCTCTCCATGAGATTTAGCAAGTGCTCTTAACACGGAGCCCCTAGTCTTGAACTTTAAAAACATTTTTTGTTTACTTGTTTGTTGGGGGTATACATTTGCTATGGCACGTGGATCCCAGGGGTCAAATTTAGATTGTCAGGCTTGGTGGCAAGTGTCTTTACTCACTGAGCCAACTTGCCAGCACAGTCTTGAACTCCTAACTCTCCTGCTTTTACCACCCAAGATTATGGGCATGCTCCCCCATGCCCAATTTCTACCCGCACTGTTAAATCTGTTTTCTCAAGATATATACCCATACACCTGGCCCTCCAGAGGTTTAAGGGAGGACAGCTGAAAGTTCAAGGTCAGCCTGGGCTACATATATCAAGATCCTGTCAAAAAAAAAAAAAAAAACCCTGCTGGTTGTGATGTTGCATGCATACAGTCTCTACACTCAGGAGGCAGAGACAGAGGGGGACTACCACACATTTGAAGCCAGTCTGAGATCAGGCATGGCAGTGCAAACCCACAATCCCAGCATTTATAGAGGCAAGAAATCACAAAGTTGGGAGGTTAACCTACCCTCTATAGGGGGTTTTCAGAGAAACTCAGTGCTACATAGGAGACCCTGTCAAAAACTATATATACACACATATAAGCATACACAAACTCCCGTATGTATATATAGGTGTCTGTATGTGCCTGAGATGTCTCGGTTGGTAAAATGTTTGTCATGCAAATATGGGGACCTCAGTTAAGACCCCCAGAACCCACATAAATAACACATCTATAACTCCAGTGCTGGAGGCAGAAGTGAATATCAGAGAACCCAGGAGTTCACTGGCCAGACAGTCTAGTCAAATTGATGCGTCCTGTGAGAGACTGCCTCAAAAAATAAGGTGGGGAATGACGGAGGAAGATAGCCAACATGTGCCTCTGACCTCCCCATTCACACATAGGGATGAGTGTACCAGCACATACATGTTTTACACACACACCAAATAAGTAAATAAATACTATGTGAAATTACTTTTTGGTTGTTTTGAGATAGACTTACTATGTAGCCCTAGCTGGTCTGGAACTCATTATGTCGACCAGGCTGGACTCCAGATCACAGCTATCTGCCTGCCCCTGCCCTGCAAGTTGTGGGATTAAAGGTGAGGGTCATTATGCCCAGCTGAAATTACTATTAAATAAACTCATCTCAACTTTCCACCTTTCTGGTTATGCCGGGACATGTTGTCTAACCCACCTGGCCTCAGGGTCCTCACCTGCAGAGTGAGCTAACAGTACCGACTTCCTAGGGTTACTGTGAGGATTGGTTGGTTTAAAGGTTACCCACACAGTGGCCACCTGTCAGTCATTTTTTTGCTACTTCCCGCCTCCGAGTCTGCCTGCCAGTTTCTCAATCCTCACTGTCCTGTTCTCTTCAGTCTGATTCAGAGTCCTCCTCCCCCGAGATAGGCGCGTGCGCACACACCACACACACACACACACACCACACACTGGTCAGCAGAGCCGCCTCAGACACAGAAAAAAGTTTAATTCTGCTGCGGCGGAGGGTCCCGGCTCCGATAGAGGGATTTGGTTTTTGGATTTTGTCTGTGTGGGGATTTGTTGTGGGGATGGGGAAGGCAGAGGGAAGAGTCTGGTCCTTTGTGGGACCTGCCCGGGAGATGGTGAGCAGAGGGAATCAGGAGAGACAAGGACACAGGACAAAAAGTAAATAAACTAAAAAAATCAACGGCGGTCGGAGGAAGAGACGACCATGGGACAGAAAAAAGAGAGACAAGTACAGAAAGACAGACGACAGTGGGCAGGAAAGACGAGGACACAGAGAGGAGAAAGGAGGAGCCCCTCCCTCCAAACCAGACTAGGTGGGACCAGGGAGGGGACTGGGGTCGAGGGGACTGGAGGCTTTGGAGGCCGCCGCGGGGCAGAATGAGATCTAGTCCAGCCAGATACAAGGAATGGGCCCCTCGCCCCTGCCCCAGGGTCCCAGGTGGGGGAGGGGACTCGTGTCTCAGTGCTGCAGTGTGGGGGGGCCCCGCCCCTCCCCGCGCTTCGCTGTGTAAGGCACCGGCTCCGGCAAGGTCCGCGAGCGCGCGGGGGGCGGGGCGGAGGAGTGGAGTCGGAGAGGCCGTCGGCCCACCTCCAATCACGGACTCGAGTGGGCTCGGCCCTGACTGCGGCTGGCCCCGCCCCTCGCGCATCCCTTCTCTCCAGCCTTCCCTGCATCCAGCCGGGCTGGGCAACTAAGTGCGGCCCCACAGGCGTCCCGGTGCCCGTGCGCCCGCCGCTCACACGGTACTCTCCAGCATCCATTCGGTGCTGGTGAAGGCCAGGCGTGCCCGGGCGGAGCCCAGCCCCAGGTCTCCATCTTCCCCGGCCGCGCCCCCTCCGGCCCCGTCCAGGTGTGGCGTGGACCGGTGGCGCTTTGTCCGGCGGGCGCGGCGCGGGTAACTGTGGCTCTGGAACAGCGCTCCGTAGTCCCCGTCAAAGGAATAGCGTTGTTGTGGCCTCGGTCGGGCCGGGGCTCCCCCAGGAACCAGAGCTAGCGTCGGGGGCGCTGAAGTTGGAGGCCCCAAGGCCCCCGAACGGCTCCTTCGAGGACCAGTTACGGCTCTAGATTCCTCCCCAGAAGTTTCCTCGGAGGGCAGCAAGCACAGCGAGGTGGCCGAGCCACCCAGAGAGCGTCCAAGCACCACCTCTAGCTCAGTGGAAGTCGCCTCCGCCTCGGTTGCCTTTGCCTCAATGGCTGCAGGGACCGCCACCTCCCGCAGCGCCTCGTAGCGGTCTGGAGCCGGTGGGGCTGAGGGCTGCTGCGAGCCCGAGCCGGCTCCGTTGGTCTGAGAGCACACGTGGCTGACCCGAGGGGGCGACCTGGAAGTGCCCTTGATACGACGGCTGTCCCCATCGCCGTACACCTTGTAGCGAATCATAAGTAGAACGATGAAAACGAGGACCGAGGCTACGATGACGCCCCCGATGGCGATGATCATGGTGCCGCCCAAGAAGTGGGCCCTCAGCGGGCGGCACGGTGCGGGATCTCCCGCCGTGGTGAACTGCACACAGCCCACCACTCTGGTAGCCGGCAGAGCGGTGGCCCCATCGTCGTAGACTGCCAGCACACACAAGTCATAAGCGCGGCCAGCCGCCAGATCATTCACCAGGAAGGTCTGGCTGGTAGATGGAATCATCCTGCGAAAAGGGGTGGGATCAGGACGGATCTTAACCACACCCATCACTTTATGCCCCGACCAAGGGAAACAATGCTACTGGTGTCTACAGCAGCCATTTGAGGCCCTCCTCCATCAATAAAGTCAGCCTTTCTGGGTCGCGACTCAGGACCACGCCCCCGTGTCTACATGCTCCGCCTTCAGATTGATTTACCTAGAGCATCACCTACAGGGACTCTCTACTCGCACTCGCAGGGTGGACAGTTGTCATCTGCATATATCTACCATTTAAGGAGCTCAGTGTTGTGGCCACTCCTTCTAATCTACATGTCCTTCCTTCCTTCAGATGGATACTGACGTCAATAATTGGTTTATCCCTGCGAGGGTAATGGCTGAACTTTCAGTCCCTGGTTTTCACCCTGTCTCACCTCCTGAATGCTGAGATCTCAGGCTTACAGACATGCACCTCCACGTCCTCTTAGTTTGTTTGGTTTCGTTTTGTGAGGTAGGAATCAGACCCCGGTCTTCCTTTAAGCATTCTACCAGTTTAGCTCCATTCCCAGCCGTATCTACCTTGATATACATTCTTGCCTTTGCGGGAGAAGGCATGCTGTAGACTCTGCCCCAGCTCTGGGTAAAAACTCCTAGCTCAGTTTCCCAAGCACCTCAGCTACAATTTCCCATTCATTCCCCTTCTAATTGCACTCTGGCTTACAAGTCGTGTCCCTTCGAGTCACCTTGAGACAGCTCCTCTAGAGGCAGCCAGCTGTTATATGTATGACAATCACTGTACCACCAGAATTCCAGAAATCTCATCTACAATTGACTAAGAAGCATGGGTTTCTTTTCTTCCTTTTTCTTTCTTTCTTTTCTTTTCTTTTCTTTCTATAGGCCAGTCTCCTCAAATGAGGTACACTGTATAGCAAAATTCTTCAGTTAAACATCTGGGAGTCACAACTCTTGGATAGGATCTCTTCTCTGTGCCCCCACCATACACAAGTGTCTTAACTTCTCTGTGCATCATTTAACATTTCTCATGGGGACAGTAAGAATCCCCACATCCCAGCGATAGCATGGGGAATGGATGAGTTAACATCTAAAACCTGACTATCTAAAGCTAAGGACCTCACCAGGAGCTGATATCCCATCATGTTGCTAGCAGCTCTGTGGGCTCCCATTCTAAGGCTACCTGCCCTCTTCCACATCTCTCTCTCTCTCTTTATAAATTACATTTAGTCTACAGCAATACCATCCTTAACAGGCCTTACCTCATGTAAATCATTTATTAATGTGGGCGTGTGTGTGTGTGTGTGTGTGTGTGTGTGTGTGTAAGGAGGAGGTCAGAGGACAACTTGCAGGAGTACGCTCTCTCCTTCCACCATGTGTGTCCCAGGGATTGGGACATGTGGGACTCAGTAGAAAGCATCTTGACCCCCTAAGCCATCTCACCAGCTGCACCCTCTATATTCCTCTTCGATCCACTTTAGGACACTCCCTCCCAGACTTTGTTCTCTTTTGTTGATGAGCGTATCTCGGCACAGTCTGTTTTGGCAACTTCCAGCCTCGGGGAACCCAGGAGTGTGAAGTGCACCCTGAGTGGCACACCCAGCACCCAAACCCACAAACTCTTCTCTCCTTCCAAGGACCTGAGTGGCTAACCGGGGATGAGTTCCACCTCTTCCTCTGTTTGAGACCCCAGAGAACAAGTCCCACCCCTTCTTAAAAGTCCTGCCTCATCCCTGCCCTGGCTTACCTGTCAGAGCTCCACAGGCCTGCCAGCCTTGGTCCTGAGACCCCCACCATGAAGGTCCCTGTCACCAGCCACCACCCTTCACTCCACGACTTCAAGCATAGGTCCCACTGTATCAAAAAGGCACTTGATTTTCTCATTAGGCTCCTTGCTTGTTATAGGCCACCCACCTCCAGCTGCCCTGACCTCCTTCTTGAATTAACTTTCCCTTTTTCTCTGCCAGAGGCTTAGATTGCCTTGTTTCTTCTCCCCAAATAACCAGTTGCTAGGGGCTTCCCCCTTCTCAAGGACAGTCACTGGCTCCTTAAGAAAGCCAGAGCCCATGAGCTTCTCATTGGCTGCCAGACCAGAGCAAGCAGCCAAGCAGGCTTCTAGTTGGCTGTCACCTCAGCCCATGGCTGCAGAGAGGAAGTTAACTCCTGCAGTGCTGGTCTATGGACAGCATCTGCAATGGAGGATGCAGGGCAGAACTGAGGCCCTCTGGAGAGAAGAGGAGTCCTGGGAACTTGCCCAGGTTGGGGTCATCAAGAGCTGCTAACAGGCTGAGTTTTAAACGTTTTCCCACCCTGTCACATGGTGACTGTGGATCGGAGAGGAGCAGAGAAGAGAGATGGGGGAACACACACAATCTGAATGACTGACAGATAAGCATCATCCATTCCCCTCCATCCCTGCCTGGCAAACACTAGGTATTCAATAAGTGTGCGTTCAAGCACATGAAAAATAGCTCTGCCGCTTTCTGCGTCTGAGAGCAAATGATCTCTCCCACAGCGCCTCAAGTTCTGGGTCTGAAAAGAAAGAGAATGGAGGGTGTAGTAGAGCCCCTGCCTAGAATCCCCCAGTGAGGGGCTGGGGTGTGGCTCAGTGGTAGAGCCCCTACTTAGAATCCCCCAGTGAGGGGCTGGGGTGTGGCTCAGTGGTGGAGCCCCTGCCTAGAATTCCCAAGTAAAGGGTTAGGAGGATTACAGACTGCCTAGCACGTGTGAGGGCCTGGTTTCAATCAACAATATTACAAAGAAATGAATGAATTAAAATAAAATAAAATAGAGGCTGGCAAGATGGCTCCATGGGTAAGGGAACTTGCCACCAAACCTAACAACCAGAGTTCAATCCCCAAGATTCACATGGTGGCAGGAGAGAACTGATTCCCACAAGCTGTTCTCTGATCGCTGCATGCACACTATGACACGAATGCCCCCCCCCCACACACAAATAAACGTAAGTTGAAGAATGTTAAGTGAGTCACACGCACAAAAAGGAAAAGTAACTTTAAATTCTTCAAATGAAATAAATGAAGTGATGGCAACTGCTTCATAGCAAAGTTGGAAGTAGAATACGGCCACAGCCGTGGACATAGTTTATAAAGGCTCCTCTTTGGTGTCTTGGCTTGCTGACTGCTTGTAAGAATGGGTCAGTCTAATCTATCTAGGGAGGGCATATGAGAGAATCAACGATGTCATCAGTGCTTGACAGCCAGAAGCAAAAGGAGGAATTGTGCACTTGGTATAGTCCCTGAAATCTCAGCATCCAGAATTCTGTGCCAGCCTGGGACTACACCATCAAAGGCTAGTCTAGACTACCAGGGTGAAAGCCTGTCTCAAAACCAAAAGACAAGCAGAGCCAAGAGGAAAGAGAGGCCCCTGGCAAGGAGAGGTCGCAGCCAAGAGACAGGCTTTTTTGTAAAGGGCTGAGCACACTCGAGTTGTTGGGACGACCACAGATGGGGAAATAGTTCTAGACCCTCTGATAACCCAAAGGAAGAGAAGCATGGGGCTAGGCACTCAGCAGTCATCTACAGTGCACAAGGAGGGCAAACAAGATGTGTCTATGCAGCCTGCAGCCCTTTACCAAGTGCCCTCTGTGTGTCATTCCTGCTGTGTGCCAGGGTCTGTGGCTGAGAGCCACGCCGACACACTACCAAGATGGACAGACCACAGGGCTCGGGCCCCACTGGACTCCTCGGCACCCAGGTACCAATGGTCACATTGGAAGCAGATAAGCTGCCTTTTTTAAAATTGTTTCGTTTGTTGAGACAAGATCTCGCTGTGTAGCCACTACATACTATGGACTGACCTTGAGCGGAAGATTCTCTTGCTTCAGCCCCTTAAGTGCTTGGATCACAGGCATGTGCCACCATGTCTGCCTCAGAGCTGACCTTTGTATTCAGAAAACACACATATTGAACACCTACTGTCTCCCAGGTAAGGATGGAAGCGAGGTAGGTAATTATTTCTTTATAAATTCTTATTTTTAGGGC